GAGGAAATGAGCTGCGGCTGATGGAGAGCAGCGTGCCACAAGGCAGCTGAGTGAGGGGAGCAGGGAGGAAAGAGCAATATTGCCTGCAGGCTAAGACAGGCAGTGCTTCCAAAGCAGGGGAAAGGGCAAGTGGCCCCTGCTCCTCACTGAGAATTTCTGTGGTGATAGTTTGTTTTATATCTCATGCTACAGGTCACACCTTTATATCCTCAAAACTCATAGAGGGTAGGTCTAATGTTGAAGGCATTCCATAAATGTTAGTGTTCCCACTTTCTCCGCTGAAAATTCACACCATCCACTAGACAAGGGTAGTCAAAAGAAGCAGAGGGCAACTCCAAAAATGATTAATATTTTATGATTTCCTATTTGGGTTAGAGATTATACAGGCATTCTCTTAGATAACTCTCACGACTTGTTTGGCTGGTAATACTATAGCCATTTTTTAGATGATGAAACCCCGTGACTTTCGCAAGGTCATTTAGTGGGACGGCAGCAATCTGGTCAGAGGTGTCTCTGACTCTGAAGACAATACACTTTCCCTACATGAGTAGTCCCCAGACCAACAGCAACAGCATCAGCAGCACCTGGGAGCTTGTCATAAATACAAATTCCTGGGCCCATTCCACCTGTAGAATCAGAACTCTAGGGGTGGGCCCCAGTGGACTGCTTCACACGTCCCCCCAATGATTCTTATGCATGAACAGATTCGAGGGCCACAGGCTTACGCTGTGTGCCACAACCTGCATACAACTATTGCTTATACTCACTGCAGAGAGTACTTGAGTTCTGTTGGGTATCTTTTTTGTCCATTTGTTTGGTTTTTTAATCCTTTTGAACAAACATATATTACTGATACACGATAATTTGATAACCACCACCGACTCAGACGCAGTAGGGTTAAAAGGCAGGCAGGCTGGGGGTGGAAGCCCAGAACCACCAGCTACTGTTACAGAATCTTGGCAAGTTACTAAACCTTCATGAGTTTTGGATTGATCTTCTATAAAAATGAAAATAAAAACCGTGAGATCATGCACCAAAAGCACTTAGCCCAATGCCTGAAATGCAATAAGCACTCAGTAAAGTAAATATTGTTTTCATTAAGATTATCCTCATTAAAGACAATGATATTAGTAACAATTTAATTAATTGCATCAGTCATGAAGCCTGTCTATTAGGTATGCTGCGAGCTCCAGAGATGCTCCCCTGCTTGTAATTTTATTGTGGAATGGCCTTAATTTTTCCAATTTCAAAATGAATTTCCAATTCATCTCAATTCAATACACATTTTTGCTTTCCTGCAATGTGCAAGGTACTCTGTTGTTTCAGGATATTTTATAAGTAGAGTGACGATACAACTTATCAATTTATATGTGGGCAATGGATACCACTATCTATTGAATAATTTTTTTTAATTAAATACTTAAAATCTTTATTCTGTATTGGCTTAAAGATTTAAATTGTACATTTGAACATTATTCAGAAAGTAATACATTATCACAAAATTAAGAGGCTGCGTTATTGTGTACACATTTAATTTCAGGTTAAATTTTTTATTCAGAGAAAATCCCATATTGCTATCTTGTGATCTCTGTGTAGTTAACTCTATAATCTCAAGTGTTCTATTCCAGAGATCTGTAAATAATAATTCACCTGCAGTAATAATATAATCCCTATATTTTACTCAGTAAAGCTTAGGCCAATTATTTCTTGTTTATTTGAACCAACCTGTGAAAGAAACCAGTTTCTGTCCCTTTTATTATACCTTTTATACATACAGGAAGGCTATCATCTTTTCTACATCTTTTCTTTTTAGAGTGAAATTTTCAGGTCCCACAACTTCGTCTCACAGCTCATGTTCTCAAGATCTTTTTATCATTTGTACTGTTTTCTACCAAATGCCTAGCAATTTGTCTCTTTTCTGCCATGCAGTGTTCTGCTGAACTTAGTCCGCAAATCACAGCCTAACAACACCTGAGTAGCTCTACCCGTTTTCATGCCTGATATCACGATTACAATTCAACACACAGCAGCATAGGAATATTTTAACAGGGATCAGAATGTCCCCTCATTCAACTTATCATCCACTGTAATTCTTGAATTTTTCTCCCTGCCACTTCCATATCTAGCTTTTCATTGCACTTTTTGGTTCCATTACCCTGCCCTGCACCAACTTTCGCATCCATTCCACTTACTGAATTCAACATCAGCGATTCCACCTATCTCCCCAGCACATCAAGATTCGGCTGTCTGGTACACAGCATCTCAAAGATCTGCAATCCCACTTCTTCTATGACTCATTGTCTACTAGGCTCATTAGTGCAAATATACAGCATCGCCCAGAATATTTCATAAGTATACGACTGCATTGCCTTTGGAGGGTTTTTTTTAGATGATTTTTAAGGTTACAGTTAAACAAAATAAGCAAACAAAGCAGACTGGTCTGTTGCTTCAAGGTAATTTAAAAAGAAACCTGGCTTTCCCCTTCATTGACTTAACTTGAGAAAGTTAAACTGAGCACCAACTACAGGATTGCCTTATTCTTTTATTATTAAGCTGTCATCCAAAGAGTAGAGATTAAACCCCTGATGTCTACACATGGAGAGCTCAGCAGGTACCATGTACCCTGCCTGCAGGAGGTCACTGTGAATGCTGGCCATGTCAACGGTTGGCTGAGCAAATATTAGTACACACAGAATTAGTTTCACTTAGCATGTTGACTCGTCCAGTTACAAAAGAAAGCAAAGCAGGAGAGTATAAAAAAAGCTGAAGGAAATAACAAAAGCACCTTAAAGTATTAGGCCCAAATTTAATTATTTTACCACGAAAAAATGGTGGAGTTATCAACACTGAAATGAGCTAACACTATATATGAACTTTCATTTTAAGGGAATTATGGAAGTGATGGATTGTTCAAATTCACAAGTCAAAAATTACTACATGCAGTAAACTAAACATCAAATCATGTGTCCTCCTTCTGCCTAGAACCGCCATCTCCCCACCTTCCATACTCACTCACACCTACGCCTGTCTCCAGTCAGCCTTGCCCACCCAACAGAGTCCTGTTCATCCTCCAAGGCAGGAATCCCTCCTTCCTTGGGTTCACGTCTTGTCTCGTGTTCAGTTCTTGCTTCAAAGCACAACTATTTACAGAGCTGTATCTTCTATGAATTTTGAGCTCCCTCTCTTCTCTTTGCTTTCTGGCTACCAACTGGTATTGAGAATTGCTCAATAAAATTTTGTTAAGTAAATGAATTATTTCAAAAATAGCATTTTCCCCATAGCTATATATATATAATTTTTTTGGTGAGGAAGATTGGCTCTGAGCTAACATCTTTTTCCAATCTTCCTCTTTTTGCTTGAGGAAAATCATCCCTGACCTAGCATCTGTGCCAATCTTCCTCGATTTTGTATGTGGGATGCTGCCACAGCTGGCTGATGAGCAATGTAGGTCTGCGCCCAGGATCCAAACACGCAAAGACTGGAGTGAGCGAATTCAACCACTACACCACTGGGAAGCCCCTCAGTAGCTATGTTTTTAAATGCAGGAAGTGATATTTGGGTTGAATACTCACTGGAGAAATTACGGCAATGCAATGGTGTGAGTCCAATTTTAACAAAATGATAAGAATATATGCTAGATGGGAAAATTCATTAAAGGGTTTAAAAGCAACAACAACTCTGAGAAAAGGCATGTGTCTGTAGCAAAATCAAACAAACAAATAATCAAAAAACAAAAGGGAGGGAAGTAGAGGCCACAGTCTTTAAATAATACATTTCACTTTTTTTGTCATATTTTCATATGATCATGTATCTCAATAAAATTTGAAAGTACTGATTTTGGAAAATGTTTATGTTTTCATAGCCTAATTATATGTGGTAGAATTGAAAGAGGTGTGAAAAATAGGAAAAAAATTTATAAAATTTTTAAGTTTAATATAATAGTTTTCAGACAGCTTAGCTGAAAGTATAATTATTAGTAAAAGTTTAAATAATGAGGATGCTTTAGTTCTAGAGAAGACTGATGACACATCTACTCACTGTCTTCAAGTACATGATGGATCAATTGAGGGATGATAGTGATAAAATATTTTCCTTCTTAGCTATGTATAAGACCAAACAGGAAAATGCTAGAGAAGTTGAGATATGACAAATTACTAAGTCGTGTAGTGAAAGGGACCAGCCCCCTGTGCATGTGAAGTAAACCATCGGAACGAACCGCCCAGCTCCTCACACTCGTGCTGGGCCCTCAGCACAGCGCCAGAGCCTGCAGGAGCGACCGTCGACTGCCCAGAGTGCAAAAAGAAACGGATCATAAAGGCCCCTGGAAAATGAAGACGCCCAGGAAGGTTAAAAAACTGTAGTAAGAAGATGACTGATCTTTGAATTTTTTATGTTTAATATTCTTTTCATGAACATTAACATTAACAAGTGACATTTAGTATAATATTTTTATCAAAATGAATTCTATTAAATAATTTAACCTCACATTATGTATTAAAATACTGCAGTGTGAAATTCCAAGATAAGACAAGTTTACGGTCTCTGTCAAGGGTCACCAAAAGAGTAAAGACCTTTTTCATAACCTTCTTGTTTTCAGTTTTTAATATTAACATTTGTTACACCTCTTTATTTATATCATATGCTCATAGTTGTTTTATGAATAAATACCACAACCTTTTGTAAAGAACCTTAGAGTCTGGCCTAAATTAATTATTTTGTTCTCATGGGATAGCAAAGCCATCAGAATTCAAAATAAGTTGGCACCTTATGTATAAAGAATAAGGGCCTAGATGAAGAAAGTTAGTCTAACACTTAATAAAACCCTACAAAGATCAGTGTATTGTGGCTTTCACAGTGTTGCCTTTTAAGCTGTGAACCAGAAACAAAGTTTTCGGTGTTTTTTCCTGTCTTATTTTTCTTCAGTTGATAAATGGAATGCATCCACTGAGAACCTGAAAGCATTAAATCATATCAGAAATACAGGATTTGGTTCAGCTTACCTGTTCCTGTTGCTGGAAATCCAGTCCGAAATAAGTGTTGATGCCTGCTGGTGGCAGTGCTTGTTGCCAAAACTGCATGCCAGCATTATAACTTCTCTACGTAGTTCTCTAGAGACCACCGCAAGGAAAAAGATTAAAAAGCCCTGTTACTGTCTGGGGAGAAAGGGTAACTCATTATATTACACTACAGTAGACAAGTAAACAATTAGCACAAAATAGTTTTCAGATACAGAAATTCTACATTGCTGAGTAAGAGACAATTAGGCAGAGAAAAGTTAAGCATACTAAATGTCTTCTCTGGAAACAGTACTACATGAGGGGCGTGGCTTCAGAGCTCAACATTACCAACAAAGGCAGATCTTAAATTAAAACATGGCCATGAAATGTGTTTGCTCCCAGTACCAGGGGGTGGGAATGGTGCCACCCAGCAGCAGTCTTCCCAAGGGAGGGAAATGAAAGATGCAGAGCGACAGACAGCCCATCTCATGCAGCTAATATCACAATGGTGCTGATGGTCAGTCAGTGTACAGCTCTGAGGGAAAAAGCCAGTAAGGAAATAGAACAGTACTCATGCTGGTAGGATGCTTGAACAAGAGATCCATTAAAATTATTTTTTGGCCATCCAAGCTTGATGTACGTTGTTGCAACTTGCTTTAAAATGTATTCCTAAAGGGAGGTAGGGGAAATAAAGATAACGTCAGTTTTCAACCTTACCATGTTGACACTTAAAATTACGTAGTAAAATTAAAATATATTCTAAATGCACGTCTTTAAAACATCAGTAAAATTGTGGGCATGGTAATACTCTATTATAATTTTATTCAACTTAGTATTTCAAATATAGAAAGTAAGGATAAAATACAATTGCAATGATGGAAGTCTACTCCTTACTTCCTGTTGAACAATTAAGTAATTTGCTAACTATTAAATATTTCAGATGAAAACTTTTGTAGCAAAACAAGAAAACTGAGGAATATTGATAGACAGCCTGCATACATATATACAAATGTGTAGATATAGTTTATGAAATTGAGCACCTAATATTCGTGCGGTTTATGTTCACAGAGCATATTTAATGCGAAAGTGTTATATAGGCCCAGGCAGTAGCCCAGCATTGTTGAACCTGACATACACAGAACACTGTTCAGTAGAATGGTATTCCAGAGTCAACAAGCATTCAGATGACAACATACTTGAATATCAGTAGCAACGTAAGATACGCGCTCCTCACTTTAATGTGGTCCTCAAATTTTGTCAAAAGAATGAAAGCATGGAAATTACAGTAAAAGCACTTAACTTTCACTGAAATTGAGGTGTCTGATATGATACACTCTTCTACGGTACAAATATATACAAAAACGTATGTTACTTTTACAGAAGTTTAATATCATGTGTCTCTGTGTTAAGGAGAAAAGAGAAGTGTGATAAGTCTTCCCCGAGCAGACAAAAACTATACCCTAACTGTGACAACACATTTCTCTGCATGTCTGTTGTAAGGCTTAGACAAAACTAACATGAACTGCCAAGCCAGGATTATTCTCATTTTCAAAAACAGAGGTGCCTTCACATTGGTTTAGACGAAAAGAAGCAACTCTGATGGCCGGCAGGCAATGCTGATGGCTCTCATAAAAAGGTTTCCAGCCATGGCAATCTAACCTCAAGCCATTCCAAACACGTAGATTAGTTAGCAGGGCCAGGATGTCACAAGAAATAGAACGATTTTATAAGAAAGAGGGCAACTGAAATAACTTAAAACAACTAAAGAAAAATAAGTAGTGCTCAAAGGTGATGGAAGGCACAGAGACATGTTCTCATATGCAAAACCTCACCAGTGATAGGAAATTTCGCAATCAAAAGCTCATTAGCAGGACTAATCCTGATCATCTTCAAAAGGATCGTTACTTGAGATTAGGTCGTGTCAGCAGCGCAGTTCGGGTTTGCAGGCTTCATACGCAGGAAACCTGATCAGGCACCATTCTGGAATGTCTGTCATGTCTTCACATCTACTTGGATTATCTGTTGTCTGCTCTCCTGTATCCCCTTGGACCCAATTATGAAAGGGCTTTTTTCTCAATGTTGATCTTATCCTTGTTAATTAAAGAAGTGAATTGAATTCATTATGCTCTTTTGTATAAAAATAATGACCAAGAATCTTTACTGAAACTGTCTACATTTTGTTAAGATCTCTGGATCACTCTACCCAGGTTAAGTCCTTTGTGAACACAGAGCTCTTTAACTCTTGGAAAGTAAGTTTGAACTTTAAGGATTTGCTGTGTATATTTGTTCTTAAATTCTGAGACATTTAAGCTCAGTTGACACTTTTAGGCCACAACAAAAACTGGCTTGTATTAAATTTCTTCTTCAAGTAATTGTCATCAGTGTTGCACAGAAAATCAGGACAAAAATGATAACACAAATTAGAAGGAACTAAAATAACTCAGGATCAGTCGAACACAGCAGATAATGAGAAAATAGTTTATCTTCTGAAAATAAGAAAGAAGAAAATATATCTTTTTACGTTGAAGACATTGTATTTCTCCATGCGGTCCAGCAATTTGTCTAGAGGATAAAGAGCTCGGCTGGCAGCATGCCAAGGAAGAAAATCCTTCTCTTCAGACAGGTATCTGATAACCTCCAGGGGAATATTCTGAGGCAAATAGCCAGCTCTGCACAGTCAGAAAAGTTAATGTTAATTACATGCAGAAAAGATACATGATGACGCAAAAATGCACATCTTACTTATGCAAATAAAAAGGCAGAAAGGTCATCACATATAAAGAAGCCATACTCACTGTTTGCAATACAATTACTCACTTTTTAAATATAGTCCTACTTAGGATGCCAATGCCCCTAATATATACAGAGCTGGAGAGTTAAAATTTACTTGAGCACAAAAATATCAGCATATGTATTTTTAAAAAGGAAAGAATTGTGGAATTTGAATAAAATCAACACTAGGTATTTTCCTTCACAGAAACTCCTCAGAGGTCACAAATAAGTGAAAATAATTCATTACTGAAATCAAATTTCGGTTTCTCAATGCATTCTCTTTCCTTTTTATGTAGCTCTGTGTAATGATATTTAACACAAATTGTTTTCAAAAGGATGAATGTGGCAACTTACAATTTTGACTGTATCTATGTTACATTATAATATAAGCATTTTTCAAACCTGCTTGTTTTAAGAAAAAAATTGTTTTCCATAAGACTTATGAAAGTCAAAGTTAAATTTAATACAGTCCAAATTACAAAAATTTTAGAATAGACTCTTCCCATTTATTATTTTCCCTTCAAAATACATGCCATGTCACCTTGGTGATCAGTGTCAGATTCTTTGGAAAATATGAAACTGCAGTTTTTTAAAATTATCTGAATACATTTTGCCAATATTTAAAAGAGGGTATAGCCAAAAAAGGAGCCAAAAGAAGTGTGTAGCTCTACTCTCCGGTAGATTGCACACAAAATCCTTGCAAATCAAAGCAATATAGATGACAATCCACAGTGCTTAAAAGACAGTCTTAGCCTGATATTCCTGATGCAAAGACACAACGCCACTATGTATTTTGCTGGATTTTTTTTACATAGCGGTCAACTGAATTCAGGCTTTTAACACAGGGAACATGTAAATATGAAAGCAATGGAAGCCTGGTCATCTCCTTTGTCTACACCTCACACCACCGCTCCTTTGTACCCTCCCGAAGCCAGGTGGACTTCCTGTTTGTGCTTCTTGGAAAGCAGGCAGGAGGGAGCAAAGCCTTTTCTCATCTTCACTTAAAATACGTTTGCCAGATTATTCAGTCCTTACTCAGTGCGATAAGCAAAAATTACTCCACAGATGAATATTAATTTGGAGCTGTGTTTATAATATTCATAATAAAAACCAATTCTGAAGATTGTGCTTCAGGTTTCTTTGAATTAAAAAAAGAATGTGTGTCACTCTAATGAATTTGCTTCTCTCGTGGCATAAGATCAACCACAGCTAACGTCTGACATAAATGAGAATGGTGCAAATAACCCCACATTTCCCCATAATTTCAAAGTTTCTTAAAGTTTGTATGATTTAGACTACATCCACATTTCTGCCACTTTTCTTGTACAGTTTCCACTCATACATCCTTGCAGAACTGGCGTGAATTCAGGCGATCACAATAACAATTCAATAAGAAGCTGTATCTTTTGTGCTAGTGTAGCATCTCAATAATAGTGTTAAATTGTGTTTTTAAGGGTTTGTTATCTACTGAAAAAGCAATATTCTTTTATAAAAAGGATGATTTGCTTTTTTTCCTTAAAATAGACATAACTTCCAATATTTCAGATTTTATAATTTTTTTCCCCTGACATTTAATTTTAAATATTAATTAGCATGGGGATCAAAAATTTGCCTCCTCTACAATTGCATAATGCACATGCCATTTTAGAGTTTTAGAAGTGAAGAAAATTTATCTAGAAACCATTATTCTTTTGTTGAATAAATAATAAAAATAATGCATTAAATAAAAAACCTTTAGTAAGTAGCTAATTTTGGAAAACCTGGAAAGGTGTTTGGGTCTATTTTCTCACAGATTTAAACATACTAGCCTTATGTCAGCTACAATTTATTGTGTTTTACTTCGTCTTCTACAAATGGGTGTACACTACTCAATGGCTTATGCTTTGTGCCGATGTGACCACAGATAAAGAAAATGACAAACGATCTTATGAAAAAAGACTAGGACTTGAGATAGAGTCGGAAACGAGAACGGGCCTGGAACCACTAACACGCTGGACGGTTAGACAACTTCATCTTCCTAAGCCTCATGTTCTTTAGCTGTGGGATTAGAGGGTTGAACTGGGAGATAGCTTTTTAGCTCCCAAAACTTTTTATTCTAAACTATTTATCCACATTTTAACCTACTGAAAAATTATTACAATAATATGGGCATAATTTATTTGTTTAAAATTTTGGAAAAATACTTTGTAATTTTATAGTCCCCGTTCTCCATTGTTTTAACATGTCCAAGTCTAAAAGGCAAGGCTTGGATCTAGGCTCTATAAGACATTTGACAGACTGCAAAGAAAATAAAAGCACAGCAAGCCTGAGAGAAGTTCCAAATAATGACAAGGCAAGTAAAGAATTCATTAGAGAAATGCAGCAAGTTCTGTTTTGAGTCCATATGGCAAAATTTGCTAACTGCTCACCAAAATTCATGCTCTTCTCTAATTCCTAGGATACACTGGAATTCCCACTTCCTTGGTTGTTAGGTGTGGTCATGTGACTAAGATCTAGCCAATAGGATATGAATGTCCTCACTACCAGAGTTAGCCCACAGACATCTCCCATGTGCTCCGCCACGCTCTTTTTCCCTGAATTGAATCTTTCAGGGTGACACTGGAACTCTTATATTGAATACGTCAGAAACCCACCCGGGTTTCCAGATGACTGCATGCCCAAGTACCAGTTCTCACACCCAGTTCCAGCATGTGAGCAGTAAACACACTTCTACTGTGTTTAATCCACAGACATGTTTGGGTCTATTTTCTAAAGCAGTTAACCTTCTCTGATGCAGTTCTCAAAAAGAATAAGAGACAGATTGCACTCAAATTGCCCTCATTTTGCATTGTTACAAACATAGGTAATCATGTACTACATAATTCAATATTCTTGCATTTAGTCTACTAGATCAAAATATGTAGCTATTCTCAATTGGACAAGAGGATGATCAGCTTCTTTACAAAATTAAGAGTTATAAGAGATAATGTTGGTGAATAATTACCTAGTTTAGACACGTGTTTGTGTAACTGGCGGGTAACGATATCTGTGATTACAACCACTGATAACGCAATCAATACAGGGCAAGTATGTGGAATCCAGTGAAGGGAACACAACATTAGCTCAGAGTCATCAGCCCAGTAGGGAGCACACTTACGGTCCTGATGCAGAAATAGTTTCCCTAAATTTGTATCATCACAGGGAAATGTTGCTAACAAAATGGGAGGGAAACTAACAAATTTAAAGAATATTTCATGTATAACTAAGTCTTTTATTAATATTTTAGGAAGAAGTTATAGATGATATCTTCTCTACTATTGAGGTGGGGGTTGGCATAAAAAATGATTTTGGAATCAAAGAAAAGACAATGAGGAAGAGGGACAAATGAGGAAAGTTAAAGAAATAGACAAAGATTGCCCCTATGCAGCTATACAGTTCCTCCCACCTCCCCCCAAACACACACATACCCTGTCCTCCTCCTCCTCCAATTTACTGGAGTTTGCAGTAAAATACGTCTTTAGGCATACAAGAGAATTTTTTTAATAAGAAGAACATTAAAACAAGACTATATTAGCTGATGTTGAAATGTGCTGATCTTAGCTGGCTCTGTTTTCACCTAAGATCCAAAACCACTTTTGAAAACCTGTTCTGAATCCCTGTGAAGGTTAACTCTTGAATCTACTAAGATGGATAGCTTGTACACAAATAACCTATTTTACTGTGAGTTTTCTTTAAAAGTAATGGTTTCTGAGTGCTTGAAACTTAGGAAAAAATAAAAAGCACAATCCTCAGACTCTTCAGAGCATCATACTACGATTTTCATTAATTAAATATTCACTTAAAATAATAAATAGCCTACTACGTATTCACAATAGATGCAGAAGGTGCAACCCCGTCCTTGAGCGCACAGACTTTTAAAGCAATTGCTGAAATGCTTAATTAAAAAGTTTACTATTGTATCTATTATTCTTTGTTATCCCTTATCAAAAGACCTCAGGTGCTCTTTGAGGGAAGATCTTATGACAGAAACTGGAAACTCCACTACTCCTTGAAGCAGAATAAAAAGGGAATCCATGGGGGAGGCGTCTCTGTCCACCAATGGTCCATTTGGACAGTTCCCAGAGAAAGTGAAGCTATGACTCAGGCACTGACGAGTGGCTGTCTGCAGAAGTGCACCGCGAGTTACTTATTTGTAGCTCCACACAAGGAGGAGGGTGAAAAGTCTCACAATGAGGAGTGCCAGCCCCTCCTCCTCCTGCTCCTTCTCTTCCAGAAGCCTTCTCCCAAAACTGACTTAGGCACCTCTTTTCTGGGCTCACATAACACCCAGACAACACCTCTATTCACAATAGTTATCATGCTATTAATCATAAATGTATCATATTATCTTTTCCACTCAGTGGACTTAGATCTTCAAGGAACTGAAGGAGGCTTTATCCATCTTTTTATCCCCATGGCCTAATGTGGAATCTAGTACAAAATAGGTACTCAATAAATATTCCTTAAACTAAATTAAATTACAGCAATAATGTCATAGTTCTTAAAAATAGGAGCACTTCACAAGTATATTAAAACTTAAAACCATAATATTTTAAATAACGCATTTTTAAAGTTAAAAGATCCAGCAGGATGGGAAAATTCTATTAGGATGATATTTATAGTGTTTTTGCTCATCTTGCTCCTTAATGGGACACATGAGAAATGATAAGAGGATCATTGCTATCTAGCCAATAGCTTTGAATAGGCTAGTCCATACCAAAATAAAATAGCTCTGTAGCCAGTGAGAAAGCAGAGGCATTATATAAACATCTCTGTTCTGTTTTCTGTGGTTAGCAAATCACTTGCCTACTCTCCTAGAAGCAATAGTGTTATTTTATACCATGCAATTCAATAAATCGATGGAGGGGTTGGAAAGCTC